AATTAGTTGACCAGTCACAATGCCCCATGGACAGTCAAAAATCACCATACATGTGCATGTGTAGGGCACACAGTTCGTGACTGCTCATGAAGAACTTCGTACTGCAGGATTTGTTGTGGAAACTATCATTCCCTATGAGCGGTCACGGGTAGAATACAGTTGTGATTCCATGCGAACAGTCACATGCGACATGTAGTTGTGACCAATATTTCCCTGTGAGTAGTCACAGGCAGAATGAAGGTAGTTCAGACAGCTTGCTGTCTACAGCATTGGGTAGTTCTGTATTATTACTATTCAAGCACATCTTTTTTCAAACAATCCTCAAGCCAAGAAGTGATGCGCAGACAGAAGAACCGTACTCTTGGTGATACTGATCGCAAACATGATTAGTTCCTCCACGCCATTGAGTACCCAATTCTAAACCTTATCAAAACAAAATTCTTGTCAAAGCAGCATGCCAGTTCAAGAACATCTGGTCAGATATCCATATCGATTTACACGTCTGGTGGGCTCTCACCAATAAACCGGCATAGCAGGCTACATTTGCACCAGCAATCACAAGAAGTTATAGTGAGTGAATATTTCCATAAAATTATTAATAAGTAGAAGGAACATACGTAATGGACAAATGAAGGTCATGAGGCTCGCCCAAAAACACTGGCAAGAAGACAGTAAACGGTACACAGTGCTCGTATGCATGTACTATTTGCAAATATTATAAAACACGTTATACCGGAGGGTGTACCCAGTGTGCTGACAGTGCTCGACACCGCGGGGGCAGAGCGTAATACAGAACAGAACAACAAGGACAATCAAGGCTTGTTTGCTGCGACTTGAAGTTTCATGCTCTCGCAATCATCAGGCAAAATGAAGGTTGGGTGCCGACCATGCCAGTACATATGCCAGGAGAAGATTGGGGCTAGCGGTGGTATTTTAGGCAAAAGCCTGCGTGCACAGTGTGTGGTTGTTGAAGGCAGGGGCTAGCAGCGCAATGTCAGCGCAGAATGTGTGGTTGGTGTGGGCAGGAGGGGGTGAGCAATGCGTGTGGATGTTGTAGGCAGGAGGCTATAGTCTAGAGCTAGCAGTGTGATATTAGCACAGTGTGCATGTACATGTATATGGCTGGTGTGGGCAGGGTGTTATGAGCAAGGTGTGTGAACGTGATTGGTGTAGCAGGAGGCTGTGGAGACATATTTAGTTGATACCGTGGTAATTTAGGAGATACTTGTTCTCGAGTCGGCACTTGGACACCATTTCCAAGCGTCTGTTGAGGCTGGATGGTGACCCTGGCGTGTTCAGGATGTGGAACTGTTCTCTGGTACAGAGGGAACACGGCTTTGTGATGTTGGAGTATGCTCGGGCGCGATCTTTTATCCTCCATTCAACTTCGTACGAGGTGTTGGATTTCTTCAGTTTCCAGATGTGGTTCGAGAATTCAGTCCTGCTAGAGTACTTTACTACCGAAAACCCAACGACACCCCACTGTATGTCAACGTCCACTCCAATCATCCACCGCAAATCCTTAAGAACATCCCAGCTGGCATCAACAAAACGACTGGCAAGCATCTCTTGCTCAGAAGCGGTGTTCCGTGACGCAACTCCCATCCACGCGGAGGCCCTCAACGCCAGCGGCCACCCTAGCACGCTAGTGTTCAAACTCAGAACAAGAAAAAAAGAAGAAAAGGAAGACATACATGTAGATGTACACTGTGCTTATATCACACTCACGCTACCTGTAGACTATAGCCTCTAGCCTACAACATCCACACACATTGCTCACCACCTCCTGCCCACACCAGCCGCACATTCTGCGCTAACATTGCACTGCTAGCTCCTGCCCTCAATAGCCAGTGCAGGCTGTCGTAATAAAACGACTCATCCGTGTTCCATTCCCGTGCATGGTACATGCATGGTGCGACGGCACAATGACAGCTGTCGCAAATCACACTGAGTATTACACGTGGTTTTTGGTGATTCCTGGTTAGCTGCTAGCTTTTCCCTACTCGAAGATGTTGCCGCCGCGAAATATGGGGGTTTGTGTTCGTCCTGGCGAAAACCGTGTTTTGATCCGTTGAGGGAGACGAGAGATACAGTGCGAAGACGTACGATCTGTCCGAGAATCGGCGAAGAAGAAAGCTTCGCAGACGACCCGTAGTGGTTGGGAACAGAATGGAACATATACCAGTCGATGCCTGTCATGGTAGGGATGACTGCTACGAAGTTTTAGCCCCATGCTCCCCAGCGCTTTTTAGCGCCCGACGATAATTACCAAATTTCATCGATTTTCCATGTGGATCAAAGCATAGTCTCCTCAATCTTCTCCAGTCGAGCTGAGTCTGGACGCTACAATGTCGAGACGCGAAAAGAGAACATGCATGAACACACAGGAGCATCACATGCAGCTGCATTCTGCCTTGACGAAGCTGAGAACAACACCAGCACCACGCATTTGGAAGACATTTCGAAGAAGACGAAGAACTACATATCTGCGTTCAAAAAAGCCTCTGTACTATGCAGTATGCATGCGTGCATGCGCGAAGCACGGGGTCCGCGGATCAACTTCGTTCAAAAATCATTGTGCCACACGGGTTGTATGATTTGTGTGCGATCATGGTCTTTCTTCTTGACAAACAAAAGTGAAGTTTTTCGATCTTCAAATCGCCATAGCGTCCTTGTCATGACTCCAAATCAGCTGAAACTTTGCAGGAGGAATGAAAATGCCATGCTGAATCGATTGGTACCATTTTCGAAGGGTTTCCTTGAAAAATAAAAATTAGCCTGCACTGGCTACCCTCAACAACCAAACACTGTGCACACAGTCTCCTGCCTAAGATAACACCGCTAGCCCCAACCTTCTCCTGGAATATGTACTGGCATGTTCGGCACCCAACCTTAATGTTGCCTGATGATTGCGAGAGCATGAAACTTCAAGTCGCAGTAAACAAGCCTTGATTGTCCTTGTTGTTCTGTTCTGTAATACACGTTATAGATGACGGTGTACCATAATGTTACATCAACACATTTAACAGAGTTATACTGGGTGTAGGAATGAATAGAAGATGTGGTCAAAGCAATAAACTGTGCAAGCATTACGTTGAGCCCCAATATTGAAATGCAGTTTCCTGCAGTCAAAACAAGAGACTCAATCATCTCCGATCTACATCGCCATTCTCATGGCTAACACGACTTGATGTACTTTCTTACGATGGTGCTTGAAATGGATCGATGAAGTCTTGAATAGATGTCTTCCCTGAACGATTTCAACTGAGAGGAAGTTTCAGTTTCAACAAGCTGGACATTGTTTTTTTCTGTTGAGTCCTCCACAAGAAAGACAGAGCAACGCACACGAAGGTGCCTGATGTCTCCGGACATTCTTGGCGATGAACATAATATTATTTTCATTGCCATCTTTTTTTACATTTTCGTCTCTGCATGGTCAACGATGTTCATTTCTGGATCCACAAAGCAAGTGCTGCTGGTATGTTGGATCATTTGAAATCAGTCTCCGTTCTAAGAAGATCGGCATGAAAAAATACTTGACTGACAATATTCTGAAATAGCTTTTCTGAACGACGAAGTTCTTTCTTCAAAGGTGATGAATAGCACGATCTACTAGCCAGAACGTTCTATCAAAAGAGATACTATCTGAAGCCACTAGGATGTTCGACCGCTTTTTGTTTTGGAGAGGAGCCCACACACACCTGACTCGAGCTACAAGTTGACTACACGGAGATCGAGAGTTCTTGCTCACTTCTGAACCATGTGAAGGAAAACAGTTTGTTGATCGCATGAATGCCTCCAGTTGAGTCATAATAATTTTATTCTGACGTGGATCCTGTGACCATTCACAGACAAAGTCGCAGCTGTTTATGACTGGTCATCGGGATTCAAACTGGTGTGGCACTTTATGACTGTTCTTCGAGGATTTGTGACTGTTTCATTGATGACGGGGATGGTGACGTGACTGCTCGCTGAGTCCTACATCCATAAACCAAAAAAAAAAAATTATCTTATTACTGTTGTCTGATGATGGCCTGATCAAAAGGGGTAAGTAGCAGCATTCGGCCTTGTCCAGAGTCTTATCCACCACCACACCACACCGCTACGCTCTCTGGCCGACCTCAACACGTTGCCACAGCTCACCATCAGCAAAACGACACTTCAGTTAGTACTCTGCTTCTTCAGACAACAGCTGTTCTCACTAACACCCTTTAAATTGTTAGTATCCTCAGTGTAGTCGATCTGTATCGCCTTTGCTCAGCCCTAATATTCGCGCCTAGGATGCGCCATTATGTTTTCCCCCCTTTTTGCCCCTAAGATGCACCATTATGTTTCCTCCTTTTTTTGCTACAAAAGGATGAAGTCCACTGTCTGTTACCCATCCTACATTATCAACCTTCACTGACGAGATCCTGATGATCGAAACAGCTGCTGTCTGAAGGAGCAGTGTACCAACTGAAGTGTCATTTTGCTGATGGTGTGCTCTGGCAACGTGTTGAGGTCGGTCGGAGAGCGCAGCGGTGTGGTGTGGTGTTTGATGATCTTCTAGTGTGTAAAACTCAGAGTAACACCTAGTTATTAATCCTCTACGTCTTCATATATAAAATAACGAGGCAGAAGTGCGCCAAGTGTGCCTCACGTGGCCAGGGCTTCCAAAACATGCGCAAATCAACGCTGCCTCCCCAAATGACTCTAGGAGGACTGTTGCTAGACCCGCATGAGATACTCCTAGCGGCTAGTACACTCGTGCATTTTAGCCAACAATCACAGGGAAGCGTGTCGCAATGCCAGTGGTGAGCCGAAAGATGCCAGCCCTGCGGATTGTAAACAGATGGTGCTTTCTGCTACGTGGGTCTCTTCAAGCCACTGGTGTTGCTTCAGTTCTTGGACTAGGGATTAGTGTTTTAGACACATTTGTAGAAATAGACTGGTCCCCTGCCGTTCTAGCATTGCTCTGCATGACACAGTCTTGATATGTTCAGGTTACTTTGTTGGACGGTAGCAATAATATTACACAAAATAGTTCAGGGTGAGTGTCGCAGGCTTTACCCTATCTGTGGATTGGATTAAGATCGATACCAAAGAGACCATCGAGAGTAACATGATCGCCAGGGTTCTTCACGGCACCAGCGCCCTGCTAATCGCTATCAGTAAGTCATGTATGTAGTTCTGGATGACAGTCTAGTCTTCTTTGGCTGCTAGGAAAGATAATAATTGTGAACATTTGGATGCAGATTACTCGAACAGTGCATAGTGTGCCTCATTAACACAAGAGAAAGCAAAATAGCCCCAGAAAGATTTCTCTGAGTTCTTGGAGTCGAGCCAGATGATCATCAGTGGAATTGAAAGAGCCAAATGACAAACAAAGGCAAGAAAGAAATTTCGACTGGCCCGCAACAACTAATATTCTGTTTGTCTGTAGTCTAAGACAGTGCTAGGTTCATGTACTTCAAAGTATAAAGATCGTGGTGCTCACTCGCTACTTTTGCATTATTGTAATATGGCTACAGGTCTGTTTGGCTCTGGATCGCTTGGTGCAATATTGCGAAACTGCCAACCAGAAGATGGAAAAATACATGTCCATGGCGATACTGTATACGTCCAGCCAGCAAATGATACTTTTACTACTCGAAATGTCGGGGCTGAGGGAAAACTCTACAAAAAGCCGTTCATCTTCACATCACCATGCGATGTATCCTTCAAGGCTATTTCTCTTCTGTACTTCGGAGCATGCTCTGTATCAGTGAGTTATGGAAGTGATAACAGAGTTCTTGAAATACTTCAATTTCCAGATCCACCGACAGACACCTGGCATCGTAGAAACGTGAGCCTGACAAACACTGCTTCCCAATCGCTTCACGGGTTCATGAAAAGAAATAACACCAGAAGGTTCCTGATCACGATTTCCAAAGGGAGATCTAATTGTCAATTAGTCGGAGTCGATCACAATAAAGGAAGAGGACTGGTCATCATTGGACAGGGTAAGCAGTTATATTATGGAATTTCCCAATTTTTATTTTCCTTCGGAACTGCTCAAAATATCCTTGAAAATCTTACGTCTGTTTCCACGATGCACACCGAGTGGGTCGAATGTCCGAACGGAGCCTACCAGCCAATTGAGTTGCCCTGTGCCCAATATACATGTTAGTCGAAGAAGTTCATTTTGATCTGATCTTATTCCTTCGTCATGTGATTGATCACCGGGTATATTTTCAACTCTCTCTTTTTCCCTCCCCTTGCCTCTCTCTCTTCTTGTTTCTCTCTCTTTCTCTTTCTCTATAATAATCTGTACAGCACATAATTATTTGTCTTGACAATTGTAGCTCATGGTCCTCCGTACTTCTATGGCATATCTGTAGTTTGTCTGCAGTCGCCTTCTAAATTAACCTTCAGTCTTTTCGCAACGCTTGGTGTTCTCTGCAGTTATTCCAACGTCCATTTCAGCAAGACCTGTCACCAATACTGCTATAGCCACAAACCAAGCCTCTACCCATTCCACACAGAAGACGGTTTCCTCTACAGTACCAACTTCAATAATGACCACTCCCTCAGTGGATTCAAGCAGGACCGAGGGCATAGCTCCTTCTACAGCGGAGGCCATCTTACTGGTGGAGTCAACTAGCGGAACGGGCACCTCTATTCCTCGGACCAAGCTATCTGCTTCAACAACAAGGAACATTGAACAACTTGACAGTGACTCGGTTGGATTTAATTTAGTTACCAGCATTGTTATTCCCTTGGTTTTACTGGCCGTTCTGCTAGGCGTTTTTATTCTGATGTTATTGGTTAGGTCAGGAACCTTTCTCTCCAAGAGCAGTCATCCGTGGATTATTGCTGTTCGTAGATCAACCAGCCCCAAAAATATGCCAGACCCGATAAATCAGTTTTACCAGAATCGCGATGGTACTAACAGCGTTGACCAGAGTCCTACGGCAGAACTGACAGATCCCGGCCTGTATTCGGCTGTTGGACCTGGGTACCGCAATCCAAACAAACGACCCCAGACACCTCCTGGCATACCTGCTGCTCGTTATGACATTGTTACAGAGAATGAGTCGTACACGTTCGCGACCTGTAATGGTGCTGCTCCGACGAGTTATGTGAATACGGAAACGAAGCAGAAAGATGCTGGTGAGCCATACGCTAGTGTGCAGTCAATGTTTGACCAACCAACACAGGAAGTCCAGTCAAATCCGGCAAACAACGAAACACAAGCAGCTAGATGTGAAAAATGCTCAGCTCCAACAGTAAGCTACGCAGTTCCTCACAAGCGGAATTCGACAGATGTTTGCAGACACTACGAGAAGGCAGAGGAGTGCACGGCTTCTAAGCGTGATGAAGCACCCAGCACAGCAAATTCAATCGAACACATATGTCGTGCTACGGATGTAACATCACTTAGCGTCTTATCGAAGTCCGCAAAATCAGCCGTACATAACCAGGATAAGTCTATCAATCCAGATGATGTGGAGCGCAAACAACGCCGTGGTCTGAGTGACGCAACAACAGTAGTATGCCGCGATAACACCACCACCACTACCAGCACCTACCCGCCGTCATCTCGCTTATCCCTTCTAGCCACAAACACGTCGACACCGGCCCGGTCAGACAGCCAAAGGTGTGTGTCTCCATCTCCAGTCCCAAAGCCTCTGCCATATCGGGTATTCAAAGTATTGAAGGACAGCCAGGGCGATTACATGAACCCGCAGGACACAGTCTCCAGTCAAGGGGCTGACCAGGCTGATACAGACACCGATCCTAACATCTATGCAGAACCAGCCATCTCCCTGAGCGATGATGGATTGTACAACGCATCCACCATTGGCAAAAGAGATGACGTGGGTGGTATCAGCAGTGTGCCGGTCGATCTTCCTGATCTTTCTGCAATATATGCTGTGCCACAGAAAAACTGTGAAACGTGAAGTATGTTCGTCTAATCGTTTTTAATTCAGTTTCAGATCACATTCGCTTGCTTCTCACCATTTATTCTCATTTCCTGGCCAGGATTGAAATGATTGTCGTCCGTGCCGACGACTTCCAAAATCAATCACTTGTTGCCACGCTTTGTTTCTAATTCGAATTTCGGAATTACATCAAGTGAAATTATTCACAGAATCTGCACGAACATATCCCTTCCAACCCTATAACGTTCTATCGGACTATCCCTATCATCACCGTACCACCCGATTCTATCTATTTTGCATGTAACGCAGGTGATATTTTCTAATCGATTACTAAATAATCGATTAATAAATTTTACTATCACAACCCCCCGCTCTGTCTACTCGGACAATACTGCTAGCCTGTCAGTCGTTTTAAACAATTATAATAACTTCTGAATGAAGTTGAAGACTTTGTGTTGCCTTAAATGTTACAATTCATACTTGTATACTTTCAGTGCTGTTGTTGCACCTTCTAGGGTGTGCAGGTGTTATTAACCCTGACTTTGGTTTTCTGTCACCTGTGTTGCAATGTCCTTTAGACTTTTGTTCAGCAACTATTCCTGAAGAGTGTTGCACGACAACTTGTTAGAATCATAAATATTGTCTTCACTACATTTCTTCGATTGTTATATTTCTTTTCAGTTCCATCGTTCGACATTGCACGGATGACGGCCAAGAAAGAGAGAGAGAGAGAGAGAGAGAGAGAGAGAGAGAAAGAGAGAGCGAGAGAGAGAGAGAGGGAGAGAGAGAGAAAGAAAGAAACCGAGGCCGAGCGAGAGAGAGGGAGAAAGAGAGAGAGAGTGACAGGGAGGGACAGAGAGACATGGAGAGACACAAAGCGACAAAGAGATACAGAGAGAGAGAGAAAGAGAGGGAGAGAGAGACAGAGTGAGAGACAGAGACAGAGAGAGACAGAGAGACAGAGAGAGAGAGAGAAAGTGAGAGAGAGAGAGCGAGAGAGAGAGCGAGAGAGAGAGGGAAAGAGAGAGATAGAAAGAGAGAGGGAGAGAGATAGGGAGAGAAAGAGAGAGAGAGAGAGCAAGAGTGATAGAGGGAGAAAGAAAAAAAATATTAAGAAAGAGAGAATGTGAGAGCAAGAGAGTTAGAGAAAGACAGAGCGACAGGCCGAGACAGAGGGGCAGACAGAGGGACAGACAGAGACAGTAATTGAGGCAGGGACAGACAGAGGGACAGACAGAGACAGTAATTGAGGCAAGGAAAGACGGAGACAGATACAGAAACAGAAACAGAGAGTACGAGAACTAGAAGGAGAGAGAGATTGACACAGAGAGAGAGAGAGCGATATAAAGCGAGAGAGGGAGACAGAGAGAGATACAGAGAGATACAGAGATTCAGAGAGAGAGAGAGAGAGAGAGAGAGAGAGAGAGAGAGAGAGAGAGAGAGAGAGAGAGAGAGAGAGAGAGAGAGAGAGAGAGAGAGAGAGAGAGAGAGAGAGAGAGACAGAGAGAGAGAGAGAGAGAGAGAGAGAAGGAGAGAGAGAGATAGATAGAGAGAGAGAGAGAGAGAGAGAGAGAAAGAGAGAGAGAGAGAGCGAGAGAGACAGACAGACAGAGGAAGAGAGAGATAGAGGGAGAAAAAGAGAGAATGAGAGAGTTAGAGAGAGACAGACCGACAGACAGAGACAGACAGAGACAAGCCGCGACAGAGGGAGAGACAGTGACTGAGGCAGCGACAAATGCATACAGATACAGAAACAGAAACAGAGAGAGAAAAAGAGAGAGAAAGAGAAAAAGAGAGATATATAGAGAAAGAGGGAGAGAGAAAGAAAGAGAAAGAGAGAGAAAGAGAGAGAGATAAGGGGAGAGGGGGTGGCAAGACCATGATTTCTAAATAGAGCAAAATGGGAGCTGTGATTCTAGAGGGAGTTATCCAGGCCCAAAGGCTGTGGCAAAGATGCTTGTGGACTTTCTCATTGAAGTTTTGGGCAGCTATGTACTATGCACGTGCCGAGAGAAGCCATTGTTGCAACTTGTTCCATTCCTCGATCGTTGTATAGGGGAAGTAGGGGCGAGGGATGTTGGCTGAGCTAGCTATAAGCAGATAACATTGCACGACACTGACCGACCGTACTGGCGTTCTACAACTAACTGGCTAACGGCTCTAGCACATCTTTGATGCGCACTAAAACAGCCTTCCAACTTGGAAGGTTCTAAGTTATAGGAATAACATAAGGAGGGGAAGGTGACCAAGTTACTTGTAGAACGTGAGTACCGTCGGTTAGTGTCGTTCAATGTTATCGCATGAGCTGATTGTTTAGTAACTGGTGGTGTCAGTGGACAGTATAGCGTAACTTGTAGTTCCTTGGGTTTTTCTCGTTTGTATAAATTTTTGAAAGGATTGGGAGAACTTCAAATTCAAAGAATCAGTCGGGAAAGTGAAATAATAATGGATTCACAGGGATTGTGAGTAATAAAGTCAGGAGAAAATGTTAAGCAGTCTCTGCTGGGATGACGACTACACAATAGCTCCATGGTTAGAGTATCGCTGGCTACAAGCGAGTGTCCCTGGTTCGAGTCCTGATGGAGACAGTCATTTTTTCTTCAGATATTTCCCGGTTGTGTCTTTGTCCCAAACCTGCTCCTCGCGTGCTAGTCTGTACGTGAAGTGTGTGGGTACAGTGATGGCTGCGTCCCATCCGTCTGTGTCGATTCACAGGGAGTGTGAGTTGGGTAAGACTAAAGGGACAAGCTTATCTATTTTTGCGGATTTTCTTTCATAAAAAATAAACGTCACTGGCTGCTCTTCGCAGGTGTCCGCGTCCCAGCGGTCTGGACAAGCGACCGCATCTCAGTGGGACACTTGACAGTGGCCTTTGTACTGGAATCTGGAACCAGGTACGGACAAATCCCTGGTGTTGCTCCTTTTTTGTTCCGTTCCTTTATTAAATGAAAAGGCGACGAGGAGACAGTAACTTTATTAATGCGATTAATAGTATAAGTAAAGCGGACATTACAAAATGATGAATGAGAATACATGTATCTAAGATGGTTGTTCCTAATCGACTGAAGGTGAGACCACTACGAAAGGGTCAGCAATTAAGAAACACCTCTTGTCTAGTAGCCAATGCCGCTCAGTGTATGATTTTGATTGATTGATTTTATTTTACTTCGCAAGTTCAAACGGGTTCCTGGCCCAGTTATATGAAAGCGAAGGATAGAATTTTCCAAAATCCTAATGAGCAACAGCATAGGCAATATTATCGTAGAAGTGGAGTACTATGCGAGCGAGAATACTGAGAAGAAAGGAACATGTCAAAACCTGACGATATGATGATTCATGCTTCACTGTTTTGTGTCGTGCTCGTAGATTTCGTGAACTTAAGGTATTACTTCAAGTAGAAGCTGTTTTCATCCGTAAACACAATCCAAATCTATGCATTCAGAAAGAAAATGTCACAAAACTGAGACTCTTCACCTAGCATTCACACACGTATTCATTCGCATACACCTACACCTCACAGTTCTTCACTCTATCACATTCACCTGCTTCCACGCCTTCATTTCACTCACCTTTTGTAGTAGCTCACACCGTCAGAACACTCTCACATCTTTTCTTCTAATTTCTTTCGTCTTCTCTCCCACTTTAGTTTTTTTCACACCTCACCTTGTATACTTTCCACTATCCGATAACCTATAAGTAGTTTGTTTCTCCGTATAGCCTCTATTGTGAGACGATTTTCCCTGATGATAGTCTCAAGAAAATCGATTAGGAGCAACCATCTTAGATACATGTATTCTCATTCATCATTTTGTAATGTCCGCTTCACTTATGCTATTAATCTTTCCTTTATTATTATTATTTGTTTTTGTAGAGAAAGAAACGTTGCTGAGATTTGACCACGAGTACTGTAGTATTTGTTCTTGCTGAGAAAGAAACGTTGCTGCATGAAAAGCTTTCTGTTCAATCCAGCGTCTTTGCTCTAGTAACATTGCTGGCTGATAATGGTCATTGCTCGTGATGCCGATGGTGAAGAGAAGCTGAGTTTCCTGCCATTTGAAACTTCCTGACTCTGAAAATGTAGCTTTAACTAAGAGCTCCAAGTATTTTAGTTTTTCGATGTGCCAGACCTCTTGTTACATGCTGCAGAGATGAGGAGCAAGGGAGGCGTTGGATTAATGCCAATGATGGTGTTTATGGCCCTGAAGACGCCAGGAGTTTTAACTTGTCAGGAGGACAGCCAAGTTGGAGCAGGCAGATGACAGATTATTTGGCATTTATAGCATATCGTCTCAGCACCTCATGGTTACTAGTATCTGACAAGTGCCTCTTATTGCTAGTCTGCATTAGAGCATAGCAGAATTGATCAATGAAGGTGTTTATGGCCCTGAAGACGCCGGCAGTTTTCACTTGTCAGGAGGACAGCCAAGTTGGTGCAAGCAGATGACAGATTATTTGGCATTTATAGCATATCGTCTCAGCACCTCATGGTTAGTAGTATCTGACAAATTCCTCTTATTGCTAGTCTGCATTAGAGCAAACCAGAATTGATCATGTCACAAGTAGTGTCAAGACTTGATGTCCTACGATTATGCTCAGATCATGTTGCAACTTCAGGGGAATACTCGTCCTGCCACTGTATGCTCTCCCAGCATGCAGAAGTCATGTGCCTGTCACAGTGTGCAAGGGACAACGCGTTTGCATTGTTATGGATGCAAGCGGATGGAGTGTAGACCAGGAGAGAAAAAGTGATCCAGATATTCAACTAGCTTGGACTGCCATTATTAATTGGCCAGGTGCCTGGACCATCTGAACATTGCTCCGAACCAATCCACAGAAACAATACCCACACAGGAAGCCAAATGATAAACCCATTCATCAGCTTTCGAAACTGTCATCGAAACGTAATGCAGTGCATGCCTACTACTGCTACTTAAACGAGATCAACGGATGCCACATGTCTTTAACAGGTACCATGTGGAGGCTCAGTATTTTCAAGAACACAGTGCAGTCTAAACAACTAGAACAACGGGTCTTGCACCTAATGTCCCCGATTTGCTTGCCGTGTTTAGGTCTTTGCAATTCTCCGAAGGTTACGTACCACAGTATGAGATATATGAGGGATCCCGGCAGCATGATAGATCCACCGGTACGTGAAATTCTCCTGGACGTTTGTGTGTGGTTATAGTGGTACAGGACATGTGATGTACGCCTCTGGTCGCTCACACATGATCCATTGCCGGTGTCACATAGCACTACTCCCCCCCCCCCCCCCTTAGCGCTTGGCCCCCGGGGGAAAAGTACTATGCACCGGAGTATAGTGATTGGACCCCCGGGGAACTTTACTATGCAGTGTTTGCACACCCGGGAACTTTACTATGTAGCAGAATGCCCCCCCCCCCTCATACCACGGTCACACATACACAGTCATGCCTGAACCAGGTACATGTTGTAGAGAAGAGAACAAGACCACATGTACTACAAACACACGCCTGGGAAATTTGAAACTACTTAGCTAGCTCAATACGGTTTGGGCAAAAACTGCTATATTTCTCGCCAACAACGGCTTCCCTGGCGATAGAGTCTTGATCAGAGGCAATGTTTCGGTGTGTGGAAGCATTGACTGCCCACAGTTTCGAGAAAAGCTCCAAGCGATAATTCTTTTCTTCGCTTTCTTGCTTTCTTGCCAGAG